TGACTCTAATCATTCTTATAAGATTCATATTTTTCTCCTCAAAACCAACTGTTTAAGTCGACCCCACAACTAAAATATTCAAAAAAAAAAAAAAAAAAAAACTTATCAACTCATCTGCTAAATGGTACGTGGGATGGTATGCTGATGGCATGTGCAATTAATCCAAAACATGGCGAAAGGGACTGTGCCTTTAGTGGGACTCATCTGGAGGAGGGACCCAACACAACACAAGTGAGTCCTAGTCATTTGAAATGGACAGCTCCCCCGTGGAGGACGCGTGACAAGAAGACTAGGTTGCCATATGTCCAGGCATTGCTGCCACACAGGAGTGAATGTCGTGTAAGATTGTTCTACCACAGTAAATAAATAAATAAAAATTGAGATCAATTATTATTTTTTTAATTAACTATTTAATTAATTTAGTAATTATTTTTTTCGTTCTAAGTAAAAAATTTTAAATTTAAGTTACATGATATACGAATAAGGTGAAATAAGAGATAAGAGATAATTGCTTCCCGTTGTATAACCAAAATAAAAAAAAAATCTTTCTTTTTAAAATAAAACAAATTTCTTTAAAAAGGAAAAAAAAACAAACCCAAGAAACAGAGTGATGGATGATATTAAAGTTTTTTTTAGAATATTTTTTTGATATTTTAATTTTGATATTTTTTATTATTTTAAAAATATATAAAATATATTTATTTTAATTAATATTTTATATATTTTTAAAATATTAAAATATTAAAAAAATCCAAAACTACACTTAAATACCAATAATGTTATACCAGGACTATATAACTTTATTTTTTCTTTGCTTATCACACTTAATCATTCAACGTGCACTCAAATTCAAAAATCTCTTATAGAGATCCTGTACTTTATAAAAATAAACTAATTTTCTTAGAAATTGTGAATCATGGTAAATAATATCGATTTCGAATGAGAAGGTGGGCAAATGCTTACAATTTTGCAGTAGTACTTAATGTTGGAATGAAAATCTTAGCAAATAAAAAAGCGGCGAGGGGTGGCGTGAAAACTTTGGTGTCACGCCGTCCAAACAAAAACCTTTCAGCTATCTGCCACCCTCTCCACGCGCAATGATCGATATCCTTTTCTCTCCTCCTTCCTCTCCATAGAATACTTGTCCATATATATTTATATATAGATATATCATCCTCTCAACTTAATTTATAACAATATTCACCTGACCAGCTAAGCAAATGAGCCTCCGTTCTCTAGATACATCTTCTGCTCCATATATTATAAGCAACTTCCTCTCCTCTCTTTTGCAACAGATCAACACACACATCTCTTCCTCTATCTCTTCTTTTCTCTCCTTACCTAGGAGGCCAACTGCTTGCTCAAGAACATAGGCATCGAATTCGCATTTTCTTGTAAGTTCCTATATTGCTTGTCCAACGCAACGTTCAAATTGATTTCTATCAACAAAAGTTTTGTCTATTGTACAAGTTTGACACCTTAACTTAATTTCAGAATTAGGTTAGCATTCTATTGATTTTAGTTTTGTTTACTAGGGTTCTTGTCTAACTACCCAAATCTATTAATCTTGTGAAAATTGTTCATGTAGAGTTAAATATAAAACTTGTATGCAATCTAAAATCAATTGACATTTGGTGAAGTAATCTTTTTTACATTTAAGTTATATACTTCTTTGTTATATACTTAATATAAGATTTTCTCATTTAATAAGTGCTACCTAGAATAATGCCGAACTATGTCATTTCAGCCGATTGCTAAATCTTTGGAAGGCATATAAATGGAGAAGTTTTGTGGGGTTTTAGGGTTAAGCGAATGGCGTGTCATTGTGTTTGTGTCATATCATATGGAGAAAGGGAAGACATGTTTGAACATTGTGTTGTGTTTTAGGCATGTGATGTTTTGGTGGTGGGTATGCAAATGTTTTCCACTGCAGGGGGAAGGGAATATTGCACTGCACTCAAAGAAAAACATCCACACCATGCTCGTGCCAGCAAAGTCAAGCTTTTCGGCTAATAAACTTTTGTGTTTCAATATACTTTTGCCCAACTAACTACCTCATTAAACCAAAGGCAAAAATGCACTAAATTCTTGGGATTAGGATAAAAATCCATGTTTCTTTCGTGGGTTCCACAAAAGGGTCTCCCAAATTTTTGTTTTTGTGACTTTGTACCACTTTTGGGTCCCATAAAGTTCCATCATCATCACTACTACCTCTTTTGATCATGTCCATTCTTGAGTTCGAAGTTCAAAGAATGAAAAATCACTACTTTCTCTTCATTTCTGTGCAGAGCAAAGTCTTTAAAAAGGTGCCTTTTTTTCAGAAGATCCAATATGGATATAGACTGTAACACAAGCAACATGGTTAATAAATTAAACCATCTTTCTCTATTTTCTTTCAGTTTGGTGATCGTAAATTGGTTATGCCTCTCAGGAAAAGCAAATCATTGATGGAGTTGGAATCATGCGTTCCGCCAGGGTTTAGGTTTCATCCAACAGAGGAAGAACTCGTAGGTTACTACCTCAAGAGGAAGATTAACTCGTTGAAAATAGACCTAGATGTTATCATTGACGTTGATCTGTACAAAATGGAGCCATGGGACATCCAAGGTATATAATTCTCAACCCTATATTAATTAGATTGTTCATGTAATTAAGTACTTTCTAAATTACTAATTTTTTGTTTTAAAAATTTGCAGCCAGATGCAAATCAGGGTATGATGAACAGAATGAATGGTACTTCTTCAGTCACAAAGACAGGAAGTATCCAACGGGGACTCGGACTAACAGAGCCACGGCTACCGGATTTTGGAAGGCAACAGGGAGGGATAAAGCTGTGATGTCAAAGAACATGATCATAGGGATGAGAAAGACCCTGGTTTTTTACAAGGGTCGTGCACCTAATGGCAGGAAAACTGATTGGATCATGCATGAGTTTCGAATCCAAACTTCCCAACATGAACCTCCACAGGCAAGTAATTCTTAAAAAAATTAATGCACTAAACCATAACATCTTATATTCATATAAACTTGATATTGCAGGAAGAAGGATGGGTGGTATGTCGTGCATTTAGAAAGCCAAGCCCTAATCAAAGGCAAGGATTTCAAGCGTGGGACCATGTTTACCATGTTAAACCTCCAATTTCAGACGTTGGAAGCTCATCATTTCATGTTGATCCGAATCAAGGGGCAAGTTTTTGTCAGTCCTACTATAGTTCGGACACTGACTTCGTTTCCAACCACAATTTATTGGACAACCAAGTCCTTGATCTTCAACAACTCGATAGTCCGAGTCTGAATTCCCCAAGCTTTCCATCAAAAGGTTTCCAGCAGCATCGAATTACGGCTGAGGAAGAAGTTTGCAATGAAGATAGGAGCAACAACAGCAGCCAACAACATTACATTGATGAATGGAAAAATATGGACAGTCTATTTGTGTCACAGATGACTGAAACATCAATGTTTTCATTCCAAAATTCATCGGCCATAGTACCACAGGATGAGGATTATAATAACCATGTGCTCGGATGCTTTCCTGATTCATGGCAGGAAATGTTTTCTATTTAGTAAGGAAGAGAATAATTCAGAAAATATAGTAATTATTTAACAGTTAATGATGTTTGTGAGGAACTAAGATTAAGTTCCTTTTTAGTTTGGAAGATTTTCGAGGTATTAATTTTATAGTAAAGTCATAGAAGAGTTTGATGGCCCAAAAAAGGGTCAGAAGAGGGAAAAAAAATGACACTGTTGTGAATTGTGATGTAGGAGAGGAGACATTTCTGCAAAGTGAATCTCCTAGCAGCATTAGGTGTGTAAAAGTTCACTTTTTTTCTTGTAATGTTTTTAGTTTGCATGATTGTAAATTGTGCAGCATTGCACCAATTTCTACTTAATAAAAACAAAATTCATATGTGAAATCATAATGATTCATGCCAATTTCAATAGAAATAGAGTTTTTTTTTAATATATGTGATGAAGCCTAAGGATACATTTATTATATTTTTTAAATATTAACATTAATTTTACAAGGTTAGTA